GTGAGTGGGGTGTTCAATTATTGACCTTTCCCTCTCATACCTAAGTTCCCGAACCAAGACACTTTGGTAACGACGGACTAATGGCCTTTGGCACGAGTCATGGGTTTCCTAAATTTCCCAAAAATAAATATTTAGGTGGGGACTCTAAAATTTGGCAAAGTAGTCCATTTTTGGCATTTGGTTCAAACATTGATTTTCCAAAAGAAATTTCCGAATTTGGACTCTTTTTGTGTTTCCATTGTTTCACATTGCATTTGTGAAATCAGAATCAGAACCAACACAAGTGGAGTCCAAACTGTAAGGGCTATTTCATTCTTCTGAAAGGGAGCGCGAAAAGCCGAGGTACATACGCATCTTAGTTCCCTCTTAGCACTTTACATTTTCTGCTTTACATCTTTTCATACATTGTGCTTTTTTACTTAGCACTTTCTGTATCTGTTCATACTGTATTGATCACATATCACTGCATTTTCTCTGCAACTGTGGGTCTATGCATATTTTCCGACTCTCACCCCAGAGCCTGTGGAGGAGCTTCCACTAGTAATCCCCCTACTCACGGAGGTATGACGGCCGCCTTCAGCATAGGACCCGTGAGACCTTCATATTTTTTCGCCATTACTTCGACACTATGGCTGCTCATGAGGTAACCCGAAACACAGTCATTTTTGCTTTAAAACTATTCTGATTCACATTTAGCAATTGACAGCAACTAATAATCTATACAACTTCTATTCGCAGATCATGTGGTAGCCATGGGCCATGATGCCAGCAGGGATTTGAGATCAGTATGCTGGGTTCTGGGCCACTTCCCGCGTCCATATTCTATTCAAGAGCCCAATCTGTCGGGCCTAGTTGCTGGGCAAGCACTTCGTGCGCCAGATAGTGGACATGCCTAACCCAATCATTCCGATGGCTTTGCCAGAGTCCATGCAATTAGAGATGGCCTACCTACGGAGGAGGTCATTCAGTTTATGGTGGGCTTAGATGCCAACTACTTCTGAGCAGACAGTGACTATACGGCCTTCATCCAGACACATCTCATGCCACCTTTGACCAGTGCTCGTAGAGGTGAGGGACGAGAGCCCCTGCTATAAGAGAGGTGCCTAGAGTGACCCGGCAACTAGGGCGACCTGGGCCGTGGTAAAGGGGCTTCCCGGGCGAGGCAAAGGATCGGCTGGCTAGAGCTTCCTACCGCGCTGACATGCTGGCGACATACGGGGGATGCTTATCAGGTCCCAATTGAGCCCGTAGTGGCCAGGCACAAGCTTGTCGGGGTTTGAGGCCCGACTCAGGTATAAATCACACTTTGCGTTTCGCACCCGATATTTCATTTCAGATATGTTTACTACGAGCACTAATCATTCAAATAAATTTGCAGGCATCCATCGAGTACACAAAAGGCACTTTCGAGCTGATAGCCTCGCTGATGGGGATGGTATAGAGGAGGGAGACACTGTTTGGTCTCCACGGTATCCCAGTAAGTTCTTCAGTTTGCACTCTAGGCATCAAATTTCCACCGACACATTGATATTGACATTTCAACTGAAAACTTCCTAAACTACACTGATACACCGCATTTGACGCACTGCACTCACATTGTATTCATACACTGTATCTGATTTCTATATACACTTATTCTGCATACTATGCTTGCATCTGATACATATATTGTAATTGATACGTGACAACTGCCTTTTGAGATCCCACCCATATCGATGGCACCAGCGGCAGCCGCATCACCAGCAGTACCTCCTTCAACAACAAGGGGGAAAGAGAGACAGGCTCCAGCACACAGTCGAGGCCGAGCTAGGAGCGCCCAAACTGAGAGTGGCCCTTCAGAGCCTATTCTGAGCGAGGATGATACTGAGACCAACGAGGTCGAGGAGGCGGTGAGTCAGCATTCAGAGTCATCAGAGAGCGGAGACGATGACGCTGGCTCAGGTTCTGCTAGTGGCGATGATGCTGAGTCAAGTTCTGAGGCAAAGGGCGACGATGACTCTGGTTTCAGTTCTGCTTCGGCATCTGGTTCAGATAGCGGCGTTGATAGAGACAGCTCTACAAAGTCCGCTCCGCCGAGGAAGAGGACGAAGAGGGCCTCTAGAGATTGAGATAGCTTGCACTGATCTACCTATATTTTTTTTGCTTAGTTTCTTTTGTTAGTAGTGTTAGCACTTTGTACAGCTTCAGACGAGTTTTATTTGCTATAAAAACTTGTATTGCACTTTTTGTAAAAACAACCATGATCGGAATAGAAACCAGTTTTTGTATGAAAAATTGTTGTATTTTGCATTCTAAGCACCGCATAACATGGAAATGAGATTGAACTTGATTGATGGAAATTGCATATTGTATTGACATAACCTTCTTGATCTGGTAATGAACTGACTAACACTTAACAAACAGAATAAAATAGCTCGATAAACAAAATAGTACAAACACAACTCGATAAACAAAACAACAACTTGATAAACTAAACAACACAAATACAACTCGATAAGCAAAACTATGCCAAATAGAACTCAACAAACTTGCTAAAGTCTAAAAGGACTCAAAACAAGACTCTAAAATAGACTAAAAGCAGAACAAAACACATGTTTCCAGCACTGTTCAAGGCAAAGAATGACAACAGGTCAGAGTCGGAGACTGCCAGCCATGAGTGGTGATTGTCGGCCATGTGTCGGCCATGAGAGGTGGCCTGCCAGCCATCAATGAGCCTTTGCCAGCCATCAATGAGCCTTGCCCGCCATCAATGTGCAGGACCTCCAAATTGTTGACACCTGGCTTCCACTCACTGCCTTTTCCTCTACAAAAGGTTGAACTTTATAGTTTCTTCATTTCAGCTGCAAATTCTTCACAAATGGAGCGGTTTTTCCCCAAAAAACTCTCGAATTGGATTGTGACTTTGGATGGCTTGGAAAAGGTGAATTTCTGGGGTTTTGGCATAAATGCACTTTTCCCGTTGATTCATTCTCCACTTTGTTTTTCATTCCTTCATGTTGCGGCTAGATGTTAGAACCCGATTACACACGTCTTTAGCTTTGGGGGACAAGAGATATGCCCGACAGTCGAAGAATTTCAAGTGTTAATAGAATCCCGGCGCGATGAGGAAATCATACCTCAGTCCCGTTTTGGCCACATCCAAGCTTTGGGACGGATGTGTGGGCTCACTCTACATAAGGCTCGATCTCTTATTCACAACGGAGAGCTGGACATTCCCAGCCTGATTCATCAATTTTCTAAGGTCGGCAACTTTGGTAATCCCCTTTGGCGGGTTTTCGGCAACACGCCCTTTGTTTGTGTATGCTAGCACATTTCCTTTTGCCCTGGTTTCGGAGGGTCTAGCATTTGGCTAATTGAAGTGGCCCAAGGCCTGAAAGGGGGCAAGTGTTGCATTGGCGTAGTGTTAGTCGAGACTTTGATGGGCTTAGACGTCTTCCATCGGCGAGAGACAAACAAATTCGTAGGGAGTCCACTACTTCTTCAGGTAATGTTTCCCACCCTTTCTAATATGTGTTTCTTACATCACTCAACATTCATGCTCTGTTTTTCTCTCAAAGCCCTTTTCTCACTTTTCTCTTCTTTAATCTCTCTTTTCTTTTATCCCTCCCCAGATATGGATAATGGACAAGCTGAAGGTGGTGGACACTTGCCCTTTATACTCAACCCGAGCATAGTTTTTTCACCAATAGCTAATGGATTTCCTGAATGAGGGAAGGTGGTGCCACTGGATGTGCAACAAGTCTGCAGCTGACATTGCTTGGCATTACCCCTGGCTTAATCTGACCGAAATGAGCTACAACATGACTCGACACCCTGTATTGAATTGCTTGGCCTTACACACTGTGTATTCTACTTTCCGTTCCAGTTCAGACGTCAATTTGAACATGATCAGACTTGCCTAGAAGAAGGGATAAAGTACCTGGTTTCATTCCCAATCTGAGGTTCATATTTGGCTAGATACCTTACTGCTTGGAGGACGAGAGAGCTTCTGGCCCCTACCCCGAGTTTCAGCTACGCCCTTTCTAGAGAATGCCTGACTTGGCTCAAAGATGAGACACAAACCGGGCCCATTTTGGCATCAGAGGCTTCCACAAGCACAAGCGGGAGACGCAGGAACACCTGACTCATCTATGCCCCTAGTTTATTGCTTTGATCTTTACTTTTCAAGTTTTATGAATGTAATAAAAGCAACTTTGATTTGTATCGAGAGCCGGAAAACTTTGTATTGAAATCAATGAAATTGAAGCTTTGAGCATTGAAAGTTTTCCTTTTGGTGCAAAAATGGTCTAAGTTGTAGAAGGTGAAATTTGAGCAAAGTCAACTTTTATCAAAACTTTTCAAAACCATTTTCGATAAGGATTACCACTTGACACACACAGAATCAATCCTCGAGATGTACAAACCCGAATCCAAAGATCACAAATTGCTCCTTGATTGAATAACACTGCTCAGCACTGTAACCAGCTCTTCTCTCAAAGTAAGGATCACAACCAAACTTTCAGATAAAGAACAGACAAAGATGACCTAATCAGACACATGGACAAGACGGTTCATTTGGAGGTGATTACGGCCGAACTTCAGGATGAAGTTGCCTACGTATCCCGAAGATAGGAATCAGGCCTTACGTAGTTCGGTTCGGGTTCACTCAAGTATTAACGCTCTCCTTTTGCGCTCTAACTTTTGCCAAGGCCGCCCTTTAGGGTTTTCAACCTTGCGAGCTTAGTTTTTCTTCATTTCTAATTTTTTGTGCTCTAACTTTTGCCTAGGTCGCCCTTCTGAGTTTTCGGCCTAGCGAATCTCTGAGGGATAGTATTTCTTCAACTTGTCCATGTTGATTGGTTAGGAAAATTCTAGGCCATCCAAGTCCATGAGAATAACAGCTCCACCCGACCAGATAGTTTTGATGATGTAAGGACCAGTCTAATTAGGTCTGAACTTGCCCCTGGGGTCATGGATGGGAGCTCGGTTGTCTTTCAACACCAAATCCCCTTCTTTGAGATTCTGAGACTTAATTTTCTTGTTAAAAGCCCTAGCAATCCTGCGTTGATAACCCTGAACATGGTACAATGCTTTTAGCCTTTCTCTCATCAAACAGCATTAGTTCTTAAAACCTGCTCTGCTGCCAATCTGCCTCTGCTATCTGACACTCAGCCATAACTTCCAGCGATGGGACTTCTATTTTGATTGGCAGAACAGCTTCCATCTCATAGACAAGAGAGTAAGGAGTTGCCCCTGTAGACGTCCGGATTGAAGTTCTGTAGCCCCAGAGTGCAAATGGCAAGTTATCTGGCCAATCCCTATAGGTCTCAACCATCTTCTGTAGAATATGCTTGATGCTCTTGTTGGCGGCCTCAACAGCTCCGTTGGTTTGCGGCTGGTAAGTGGATAACTTATGGAAAGCACATTGTATTTCTCCAAAAAGTCTATCACTTCCTTCTTGAAATGAAAACCATTATCTGAGATGATCTTGTTTGGGACTCTATATCGGCAAATGATGTTGTTTCGGATGAACTTTGCCACATGCGCTGCTTTCAACACTGCATAAGACTGACCTTTCACCCACTTTGTGAAGTAATCAATTGCCACCAGAATGTATTCATGTCCATTTAACCCTTTCGGTGTGACTGCATCGATGACATCGATTCCCCAGACTGAGAAAGGCCATGGTGAAGTCATGTTGTACAGCATCAATGGAGGGATGTTCATACGATTAGCATGAATTTGGCATTTGTGGCATCGCCGAACAAAACCAATACAATCCTCCCCCATGGTAGACCAATAGTAACCTTGCCTGAGAATCTTCTGGGCTAACATTACTCCGCTCATGTGCGCTCAACACTCTCTCCCATGGATAGCCTCCATTAGCCGCTTTGATTCCTCTGCGTCGACACACAACTTGTGCATTCCCAGATGACCCCTATTGTACAATTTTCCTCTGCAGATGATAAATTGAATGGCCATCTGCCGTATTGCCCTCTTGTCTTTGGCATTTGCCCCTAGTGGATAAACCTCATTTTCCAAGAAGTTCCAGATATCATAGTACCAAGGGTTTTGATCTTGTGCTTCATCTATTGTGGTGATAGACTTGTAGGTCGGCGTATATCTCTACTTAATGATGATCAAACGCATCCGAACTCCAAATGGGATGTCTATCATGGAAGATAGAGTTGATAAGGCGTCAACGAACCTGTTGTTCTCTCTTAGTAGATGTGTGAAGGTCAGTTTTTCAAACCTAGGAATCAGAACGCCCAAGGTCTGGTGATAGGTCTTCATCTTTTCTTCTTTAACCTTCCAGTCTTCATTTGCTTGAGACACAACTAGGTTCGAGTCCCCGATGACGTCTAACCTTTTTGTCCCTAGTTCCAGGGCAGCTTCCAAACCAGCGATACATATCTCATATTCTACTTCGTTATTGGATACCTTGAACCAAAGTTTGAAGGCTAAGGGTGTATAGGAATTGTCAGGTTCTATCAACAACACACATATCCCATAGCCGTATTGATTAGACGCTCCGTCAAAGTACATTGTCCAAATCTCTTCCTTGACTTTCAGAATAGCTTCATCTGGGAACAAGTATTCTACCGCTTCATCCCCTTCCACTGGGTGATCTTCCAGGAACTCCACTACTACTCTCCCCTTGACCGACTTGCGAGTGACATACTTCAAATCAAATTCGGAGAGAAGAAGCAACCAACGAGCTAACCTACTCATAAGCGCTGGCTTCTCAAAGAGATATTTGATGGGATCTAATCTCGAAACCAGAATTATGGAGTGAGCTAACAGGTAGTGCCTCAACTTTCTGGTAGCCCATACCAAAGCTAAGCAAGCTTTCTCTAGCGGGGTGTAACGGGTCTCATAATCCAGCATTTTCTTGCTCAAATAATAGATGGCTTTCTCCACCCTATCCCCAGATTCCTGAGCAAGCATGCATCCCATTGTTGTGTCCGTTACTGACAAATACAAAATCAAAGGCTTCCCCGGCTCTGGCGGCGACAACATCGGCGGATTCTAAAGGTACTGCTTGATCTGCTCAAAAGCGAATTGACATCGATCATCCCATCAGAACTTTTTTTCTTTCTTCAGGAGACCAAAAAGTGGTTCACAAGTC